AGAATTCGACGAATCAACTTAGATTGAACGATCGCTATGGATATCGCATATGTGCTGCCCACTTTTGACCGACACTGTGTATTATTTTATGGTTACAGAATTTTTCAAATGGTAAAAGAATTCTTTAGTAGCTTTATTGTACCTACAAAGATTTTCATTTTACTTTCTTTGACTGCCTCTGCCACCGGATTTGCTTTGGTACGAGTGATTATTGAGTGTTAGTAATTCAATTAATTGAAGTAATATTTTTAGAAAAAGGATTTAATAAGCTTTTACATGACCATGGTCAGCTTCTTAACATTACTTCTAACCCATTCAATGGGACAAAGAATTACTTCAACGGTACTTGTAAGTATTTGTGGAATAAAACGATATTAAAATATTATTTGAAATAGGCAAGTAGTGTGGCTGAAGCTGTTTATGATCTGAATTGGTATGATGCGGATATCTCAACACGAAAATACTTTTTACTGTTATTATGTATGAGCCAAAGGATGTTTACTACGGATATACCATTATTCGGTGAAATGTCCCATGCAGCAGCAGCAAAAGTATGTAAATTACACTATTCTACAAATTTAAGGTAGTTAATTGTGTGTTGTTTTTAAGGAGTACAAGAGGGTTTATGTTTTTTGTAATTGGCTGTTAAAGGTTACTAAATAAGGATAGTGAAACACACGATAATTTAATCAACAATTTATGTTTTTTGGTGTAAGAAGATAGAGTTCCTACTAAAAATAGAAATTAGTTGATGTAAAATTTATCTAATTATTTTTGTGAAAATAGTTCTTTTAATAAATATATTAGGTACTATTTAATAGTTGATTTAAACAATTATTGTAACATAATAAGAAAATGGATCATTTTCGGATCTCGGAGGATATCTTGGCTAAACTGAAACTCTGAGAGGTTATTCCACGTTCTAGTCGTCAACCCCGAGAAATGCACGTTGTCCTTAAAACGCCATCAAAGATGAAATGAAGAGAAGGAAGTGATATAATACTTGTGATATAATGACTACATCTACATATATAGTTGTTGAGCGCATTCTTTACATCTTTGTGCTTCTAAAGCTTCTGCAGATTTACCGATGCAAGGTTTCAACAAAAAAGCTTCAATTCGGACAATTTTAGAGATAAATTAATGAATAAAAAAACAAAATGCTCATAAAAGAAACGTCTTTCATATAGGGTGTAAGCACTTTCTATACCATTACTTGATTAATACACAGGGTGAGTCAAAAATTAGGAAAGAAACATTGTTCCAGTTGTTCCACTACCATCCAGGAGTCATTGAAAAAATGTCCGCCTTTTTAATTTTTTTTTGAAAGACAAAGGAACTGGCTACCAAGAAATAAAAAAATAATAAAAATCGGCTCACTGGTTTAAAAAATATAAGTTATTAAAATTAGGTCAAAAATCAAGTGCGTCACTTTTTTTGGAACTGAGTGTAGTTTTAAAGAATTTAAAAAATAAATCAAATTAAATCTTACCATAAAAATTTAGTTTGTTAGTGTTACACTTTAAATACTATTAATTTTTTTAATAATAAAATGTTAATAAGATGTCAGCAATCATTATTATTTGATTTTGTTTTACATTTTACCCGAAATTCTGTACATTTTTAATAAATTCAGTAAAGGTCGAAACCGGTTCCAAGGAAATTAAATAAAGCAAGAAAGAAGTTCTCACAAAGATTGCTCGTTTTAATTTTTCTGCCTACGAATTCGTCTAGATGCAAACGTCCTTTTACCTCATGCCAGTCCTTTATATTATTTCTCAAGCTGTTATGTATTGCTATCAATACTCTAATTTTGACTCTTGTTCACCCCACTGTAAGGATTTCTTTCTTGAATCTTGGCTTTAACACCATTTAAATTACCCATCATTAGAGATGCATTATAGGATGCAAATCCTATTATATTTGTTATAGATATATAATATTTGTGTCATATTAATAAGTTAATATTTAGATGTACATTTGGTTGCCTATGTTTTTATATAAATATAGGTGGCGTTTTGAAATAAAGTTCAGCTCTTATCAGAAAATGAATCGTTTAACTTGACATGGCGCTGCGAAAATCACATGCGAAGACGTAAAATTTTTTAAAAAATTAAAGAGAACCAAACCTTAAATTAAAAAAAAAAATGGATCTAAATGATAAATTTATTCAACCGATGTGTATGTCTGGTAATCTTGCTGAAAATTGGAAAATATGGAAGCAAAAATTTGAAATTTATGCGGTTGCAACTCAATTAAATGGAAAAGGCGAAGATGTCCAATGTGCGCAATTATTGTACATGATAGGGGATGCAGTTCTTAAAATATACAATTCATTTAAATTCACGGACGAAGAAAAAAATAAAATTGCACCTTTAAAAGAAAAATTAGAAAATCATTTTGTGCCGAAGAAGAATTTAACGTATACAAGTTTTACAAGTTTTTTATATTAAGACAAGGTACGGAAACAACTGAACAATTTATTACTACTCTAAAAAATCAAGCTTTCCATTGTGAATTTGATGGACTAACAAATGACTTGGTAAAAACCATGCTGATTACCGGAATCAATGATGGGGCGGTGCGAGAAAGATTACTTCAACGGGATTCAGACTCGTTAGAAAGGGCAATTGAGTGCTGTATTATGACAGAGACTGCTCGTCATCAGCTCGAAGACATGAATACAACATTAAACAAATGATGTAATTAGAAGACAGAAATTCGAAAATATTCAACAAGCTTGACCATTGTTGAACATTTTCGAATTTCTGTCATTTATAAATCACAAACCTGGTTTGGAGAAAACAATAAAAAACTGCACCAGATGTGGTCGGTCACACGCTATAAATAAATGTATCGCTTTTGGTAAGAGATGTTCTTATTGTAATAAATTGAACCATTTTGCAAATTTATGTAAGAAAAAACTTAATTCATCAAAAACGCAAAGAAAGATTAATCACATAGATTCTAATTTAATGGAAAATTTAAGTGAAGATGTAAATCAATTACCTATTGACTCAATCGAATATAATTCACAAAATGAATTATGTTATAAAAATTTACAAGTTGAAGATTCACATAAAATAAAATTTAAAATTGATACAGGCGCGAATGCAAATGTAATATCTTTGAAAAAGTTAAAAATGATAAATTTTAATTGTAAAAAAATTCAAAAATCAAATGAAATCTTATCTACATTCACGGGTCAAGTAATTCCAATAGTTGGAAAGTGTAATTTAAAGATTCAATATTTAAATAATATGAATATTTGTACATTTTTTGTTGAAAAAGGGGATAATGACTCAATTTTAGGACTGAATAGTAGTCTTCTGCTAAAAATTATTAACTTTAATCAACAAAAAGTAATTAAGAAAATAGATTCAATAGATATGGGTTATAAAGAATTAATTAATAAATACAAAAATATTTTTACGGGTATTGGTCGAATAGGTAAACCTTACCATATTGAAATAGATAATAGTATTAGTCCTGTAGTTAAACCGATTAGAAATGTTCCTTATTCATTACAAAATCAATTTAAAAATTACTTGAAAAGTTTGGAAGATTTAGATATTATTAAAAAAGTAAATTATAGTACCGAATGGTGTAACTCATTTGTGTTGGTTAAAAAATTAGATGGTTCGATTCGTATTTCTCAATACACCGATAAAAAATCAAAAATATAAAATACCAACTATTGATGACATTATCTCAAAATTGAACGGTGCGAAATATTTTTCTGTACTGGACGCTACTAATGGGTTTTGAAATATCCCTCTAGACAAAGAAAGCTCAGATTTATGTACGTTTGGAACTCCTTATGGACGATATAAATTTGTAAGATTACCATTTGGTATAAAAACTGCTAGCGAAATTTTTCAAGAAAAGTTTAGAAATGTGTTTGATATAAGTGGTGTCGAAATTTATGTGGATGACGTATTGGTGTATGGTAGCACTAAAGAGGAACATGATAAAAGACGTATAGAAGTATTTAAAAAGGCCGAGGAGGAAAATATTAAAATTAATTTAAATAAATGCAAATTTGGTGTAAATGAAGTAAAATATATAGGTTATAGATTTACAGATAAAGGGATTTTGCTAGATGATAATAAAATTAATGCTATCTTAAATATGCCACGTTCAAGAACAATAAAGGAAGTTCAACGATTTTTAGGTTTAGTTACTTACGTAGGGCGATTTATAAAGAATTTATCACATCATACACAGCCATTAAGGGACATCATCAAAAAAGATAATGCTTTTGTTTGGGAAAAAGCACAAGAAAACTCATTTGAGAAATTAAAGAAAACAATAGTCAGTCAAAAAATATTACAGTATTTTGACCCAAATAAACCAATAACATTATCTGTAGATGCTTCTAGCTTTGGTTTGGGTGCTGTATTAATGCAAGATAATAAACCATGCGCATATGCTTCTAAATCAATGTCAGACGCTCAGAGAAGTTATGCACAGATTGAAAAAGAATTGTTGGCTGTATATTTTGGCGTTAAGAAATTTCATCAATATGTGTTTGGAAGAAATTTTACAGTTGAAAGTGATCATAAGCCATTGATCACTATTTTTAAAAAACCATTAAATTCATGCCCTCCTCGTTTGCAACGATTGCTACTATCTTTGCAAGGTTACGATATTAATATTGTGTATAAACCGGGAAACAATTAATTATTGAGGATAGGTTATCCAGAGCTCCCTTGAAAAACTTATTTCACAATGATGTAGATTTAAATGGTCAAGTATGTGTTGTAACTAGTAAAATTAACATTAGTTCAAATAAATTAAAATCATTAATAAACGAAACTGAAAATGACAGTGAATTAAAACAAGTAAAAATTTACACAAACAAAGGATGGCCAAGCAAAATTAAAAATATTCCTAATAATTTGAAAATATACTACAATTTAAGAGCTAACATAACAGTAATAAATGACTTACTATATTTAACTGACAGATTAATTATACCAATATCTTGGAGAAGTAAAATGTTATCGCTAATTCATACGGGTCATTTGGGTATAACGAAAAGTTTACAAAAAGCAAGAAATTTTATTTTCTGGCCTGGTATAACCAAAGATATTATTAACTTTTGTAATAAATGCGATATTTGCTTAAAATATTCTACATCCGATATAAAAGAACTAATGATAAATCAATTTATAGAAAGAAAACCGTGGTATAAAGTTGGAATTGATATTTATGAATTGCACAGTAAATGTTATTTGATGTTAGTAGATTACTTCTCAAAGTACCCAGAAATAGTTGATTTAAACAATGATTTAACAGCTGAAAACATAATTGAAAAAACAAAGTCAATTTTTGCCCGACATGGTATTCCATCATATGTTGTTTCTGACTCTGGTAGACAATTTACAAGCGAAAATTTTAAAGAGTTTTCAAAAGAGTGGAACTTTTCTCATCAAATAGCTTCTCCACATCATCAACAAAGTAACGGTTTCGCTGAGAGAACTATCCAAACAGTAAAAAAGATGATAAAAAAGACAATTGATAGCGATAACGACAAAAATTTAGCTCTATTAGCCTATAGAAACACTCCAGTTTATGATATATACACACCATCTCAATTACTTATGTCACGTTACCTAAGAGATAGTTTACCAATACAAGAAAAATTATTACAACCAAAATTAATTAACAAAGCACTTATACATAACAGAATCGTAACTCGACAAAACAATAATAAAAAATATTATGATTTATCTGCGACCAAGAATAGAAATTCTTTGAAAGCTGGCATGTTAATCAAATATCAACAAAAGCCGAATGACATTTGGCATTCAGGTGTTATTGCAAAACAGATTAACCCTAGAACTTACAAAATTAAAAAAGGAGATGGTAGAGAAATAGTACGTAACAAAACTTACATCAAAATAGATAAAACTGATAAAACCAAGCCTTTTGAACGAGTTTGTGTATGATAATTATAGTGATGTTGATGATAATACTAATGATGATAATTTAAGTTGTGATGAGGTAGATACGAAAAAAAAAGATTAAACAGTATGAAGACAAATTAAGTCCCCTAAACGATTATACTCTGTTTTTAAACCAGGGGAGTATTTTAAATTTGTCACCAGATTGACCTTGCACGTGATTGGTTGAATGCGAGGAAGGTTCACACACAGGCAATTTTGAATTTTGATTTTGAATTTCAGATTGACCTTGCACGTGATTGGTTGAATGCGAGGAAGGTCACACACAGGCAATTTTGAATTTGAAGGTTAGGTTATTGACAATTCGACAGTTTCGGGTCATTATTGTAAATTTTGTGTTCTTAAACCCTTCTTTATTATATTTTGAAATAAATACACTCATAACTTCAATGTTAATTTGTATGTATAGTGTTGACGATAACAAACGAAAATAAATACAATAATTAGTAAATAAATATATAATAATAATTATTAATTTAAATTTACCGCCAAAATATCTAATGATATTTTCTGATGATTTTTCCTAGTGTAAATCTGACTTTCGCGTTTACTCCTCCTGGTTTAAAAACAGAGTATAGTTTATTAACTTCCTCGTAAATTAAATTTAATTTTAAGTTTTTGTTTTCTCATGTTATCTTTAAGTTATTTACTTTACTTTAAGCATTTTTTTTAATTAAATTGTGATTAGAATAAGAAAATATTATGGAGGATAAAAAAGTCGAAAGCATGAAGCGTTACACTTTGGAAGTCTTTGCCTCGATGACAATTGTAATAAGAACGGTTCTGATATCAATGTATAAAACTTCACAAGCCCTCGACAGCACAATAACTAAATCAAACTTTTAAACACAGTAATAATTATTTATTTTAACAAAAATAATATTTAATTAAAACATAACCTGCGGGGATATTTTACAAAACTTTCAACCACTTTATCATTAAAATTATTTAGGTTTTTATTTATTATAGCTCTGTGTACACTCATCATGGCCAGACCATTAAGGCGATTTTCTGCCATGGTGCTTCTTAGCCATGTTTTTAGTCTTCTGAGGCTGCTAAAGGATCGCTCTACTGTACAGGTTGTGCATGGTAAAGCGATCAAAATTTTCAATGCTTTTTCCGTTTCGGGAAATAAGGAATTTGTTTCTTTTAGGACATCAACAACTGTAAGATTTGTTAGATTAAGCCTATCGTGCCACAATCGCTGCCAAAGTTCGATTTCATTGCCAAAGTTTCAATTATCAGGGAGGTGATAATTGAATGAAAGTATGGTATTACTAAAGACCTCTTCCAGTATTCTGAAGGGCTTTCTGCTGGATGATTGCTTCTATGATGTTGTTTCCCCGTAATACGCGGCAGTAGGTATAAAACAAGGCTATCTCTGACGTCAGAGGTAGCCGTAGTCAAGGACACCCTTCCCCCTCCACCTCCCCGGCTTCCAGCCGACAAGGTTGCCCTCTAGCGGCGTGTAGCTGAACTACACGCACGCCGTCGCCGCCGTCGCCGCCGTACCGACGTCGCTGGCGCGCGGGTTCGCGGTGCCGGATGGGCTGGTGCCGCGCGGAACGGGTTGGGCGGGTGCGGGGCGGTTGGTTGCTATACTAAATTTTTTGTTTGTATAAATATAAACAACTGACGTCGTTGACCGCAAAGATTGTGTTATTGCATAATAAGGAACTGTTGCGGTTACGCCAATGATAATAATAATGTACAAAGACTTTCCGATCGTTTGTTCGGATGCGACGTCATTAAACGAGTAAGTGAGAACCCAAAATTCATTGGAGAGTAATATGCGCATGCTTGAACAAGGAGAAGGATTTTTGTTTGCAGGATATTCATTAAATAAAGAAAGAAAGAATTAGTTTTAATTAATATAATATATTGATAAAATGAAAAACAAATTACGAGTTAAAATACATATTCTCATTATTTTTAAAATGTCCCCATGGTCGCGTAACTATGGAGGAATCGGGGGATATGTAGCGCTTATCATCATTACTGTTTAATGCAATTTTATTCACATTCATAGAATATAATTTATGATTTTTAGTTCGAATTGTATTAAAATTAGCTAATTTTACTTTATCATTAAAAAGTACATCTACAAAATCATTAAAAGTCAAAGTATTCGAAGCAACTTTACCAATACCTTTCACCTTAGGTGCTATTTCCTTATCGTTAATTTTTAACATATACACTTTAGGTCTTAAAGCTATAAATTCGGTTAAAATCTTCCCTTTACATTCATCTTTAAATTTTCCTGGAATTTTTTTGTTTGTTAACGGAATTTTCCAAATATTATCAGCTACTAAGTCGGAAGTATCAAATAACTCTACATTTTCTCGAATAGCATCATAGATAGAATAATTTGGAAGTTTACATTTGAATTTATAAATTAAGGAATCTGTATCCATATACAAAAGTTGAATGTGAAATGCATTATCTAGACAACGTTTAACAAAATCATAATGGAAGGAATACATTAGCGTTTTAGATAATTCCAAAACTGTAAACCCTATGTAAATAGGCTTATTAAAAACGATTTCAGTTTTTTCAAGTTCTATTGATACAATATTTTCACTAAATATTTTTAAACATTTAAATTCAGGGCGTGCGATGTATTTTCGAGTACTGTTCCAATTGTTACAAATAATAATTTTTCTTTTTTTTCTATCGTTTTCNTGACTGTTGCGGTTTCGAACATTATGAGTAAGCGAACTAGATCCATTTTTAAAGTAAGTTAGATTAAAATGTTCAGCGTGAATGTAGCACCAGTAGCAGCAGATACATAATAAAAATTTAATAATCATTTTTCTAAATAATTTTTTGTACTAAACCTGTTAACGGTCTATACTGTATGATAGTATCATGAATTATGAGACAGAACGCAGAAATATTATCATTAAATGCAACATCGCTCTCCAAATCTAGTTTAATATCAACTGTAGAGGATTTTATACTTTCCAGTTGTTTGGAGCAATCTATAACGAAAAGCGGTATATCATGAAATTGATTAAAATCCAGTAGTGGTTCTCCAATTTTATTTCCCCCATAATAGCTTTTTCTGAAGCTTGTATACATATTGTAGGCGTTTCCATAACGTTTTTGAATCATGGATAAATTCAAATTATCGTATGGATAATGAGAAGAGTTTAGGTGTAATTTAATATTATTCATGTTGGCATGCTGAAAATCGGATGAATCAAAAGTAGCATCGTCTTTTGTTTTAGATTGAAATGCAATTATAACATATCGAGGTCTTTCCAAGCTAGTACTCGATTTTACAGACCAAATATCTTTCTTTGTAGGACGTAGAGAAGGTAATTCAAACAATTCCCATTTTCGGAACGGTAACAATATAGGCATATCCTTATTAAGAGCATTTAATAATTGTAAACGATGTTTATCATTTACAGTTATATGTCGTATTCTCCAATCGACATTGGTGAGGTATATTTTCATTTCTTTCGTACCATTTTTTAAACTATTTTTATAGCAATTATCATCATTTCGAGCTCTTAATAATACTAGCTCCTGTCTAGCATTAATTTACCATCTAATCCGATCGCTGCGTTTCTTATGTAATCCTTTCCCATATTTAACCCCTTTCACTACTTTTAAACTATTTACAATTTTTAAGTGTATTTGTTGTAGATCGCATAAGATTGATTGATAATGCCTCTTAACCCCTATTCCTCCATTTTTAGTACGTAAAAGCTTAGTTAGTAATCGAATATTTCCTCTATTTAATTTTTGTAATCTTTTAAATTCATCCTCAGATCTACAGAGATTCAATAACTTTCTAGTTGTTTTAACAGTTTCAATTGTTACAATTTCCATTATGATCTAACTATATCTAGGTGTAAACTCTATTAATCTATTCTAATTTAAGCATCTAAATATACCTAATTTAAAAAAATTTTTTAAACTTTTATGAATTCAAATTCATGTAAAAGCATGTCTTTCCCTACAAATTTACGATTGACTAACGTCAAACCAATTTGGGGATGTTCCCCCGAATTAACCATCTCAACAAACTGATTGCTGACTTGATATAAATACCTTTCCGGAAGAAAGACAATGTTCTCGTTCAGCTCCGCCAATAGAGTCGGATATTTTGCATTAAACAATTGCTTTAAAGTAACTATTGGATGTATTTCCCCAATCTTGAATTTCATACACGATATTTTTGGCTTCCTTTCGTAGACTGACACGTTAGCAGCTTTTAATTCTGCATCAAATATGTTATCTCTAGTTGAAGAGGAGCTTGAACTGCTGTCGGAGATAGCCAATTCTTTTTCGTCTTCCTTATCGCTTCCCGAAAGAGGATGCCTGGTTTTACACTTTTTAACTGTTTTAGTAGGACAAGATGTAGGAACTAACGAAGTTTTTTTTTTTTTTAATTTAGGCATTGTGAATAATATTTGTAATGTGAACTCGTGTAGTGATATTCGACAAATGATAAATCCTCTAGGCTGCAGCGT